ATTCCAGTCTGGGCGAAAGAGTGAGACTCCAACTCAAAAAAAAAAAAAAATTAAGATACTAATAATATATCGTTAATAGGGTTATTACAAGAATTAAAATAACTGTATGCATGCAAATCACTAAATCCCTGGAAAGCTAGGAGAGTACCTGGCATGTCATAAGTGTCCGATAAATATTTGTTGGCTGATTGCATGAATGAATCCTTGATGCTCCTACTCCTTCCCTCTCTTTCTGCTTAGTTTCCTTTAGGAAGTTTTCTCTGATGGTCCCCTTGCTCACTGCCCAGGACTAAGTTGTATCTTCTTTATCTGTGCTCATAGAACCTAAACTTCTTCTTCCAAGTTCTGATTGCTGGGTATACCTGTATATTTATATGTGGTCTTTGTGGTAGCTGATCTCTCCCACAATCAGTAAGCTTGGAGAGGGCAGGGCCTATGTATGTCACATCTACTATGGAATTTCCACTGCCTAGCCCGGTGCCTGACATAATAGGAACACAATAAATATGTTTTGGCTGAATCACCCAAAAACCTTTGCCTCATTTTAATAAGAAATGCTTATTAGAAAATATGATGAACAATTTAGTAAGTAATTTACACTACTTTTTGAAAAGCAATTCAGATTGTAAGCTGTTGTTATATTTCTGCCTTCTGTCTGAGTTCAGTTCATTGTTGAAGCAAGGGGAAAGACCTGTGAATTCAAACAGTCTGGCCTCCAGAATCTATTCTCTGAATGTATAATCATGTTAACAAGAGACTGACAGGCTTCCTTTTGGCTAATTTCTTGCATTTTCATGGGTTTTACTCCCAAAATACTCACCCTCCTTACCTATTTCTTAGCCATAAGAATCAATGTTGATCCTGATAAAACTAAGTTTTTTAAAAAAAATTCCTACTACCTCAAGTCTTTCAGTTCTTCTAATAAAATCATGCATTAGAACTCACTGCTAGCATAGCTCTTAAATATTGTTTCAACCATTACAGACTTCTGATCAATTGTAAACTTCTGAATATTTACTACTGAAAAGCCTGTAGCTCGGCTTGGAGATACTGTTTTAAGTGCTGCTTCAGGAGAAGTGGCAGAAGACTATGGTTTCCTTCTCTTCCACTCTTTCTCTGTAACATATTCCTCCCTCTCATTGCTAATCTAGTTTCTCACAACTCAACAAGGGGCAAGTTATATATCTGTTCTTAAAGAGGTCAAGGAGCCAAAGGCAAACCTTTGGAAGCTAAGAGACTTATAACTGTTTCTTTAATTGCACATCTTAATTGTCAGAAATAGCACAAACCTTCTTCCAAGCTCCAGATGCCTCCGAGGCCCTGTCTCCTAGATTAGTTGGCATCTCTCTTTAATGCCCATGGATTGGAAGCATGGGACCTGCTTGGCCCTCTGCAAATGCCCTGTATTGGAGTGCACCATCTGGCTGAAAAAGTGACAGAGGTATTCAGACTCCATGGAGGCAGCAGCAGCTTGATATAGGCCTCGTGGGTCCATAGGAAGAGTCAGGAGTCCCGGTTCTGTGTCACTCAAGGTAAATGTCATTAGATAAGTCCTTTGCCTCTCTTGGCCTCAGTTTCTTCATCTGTAAAATAAGGTTTTGGGGCTAGGCACGGTGGCTCAGGCCTGTAATCCCAGCACTTTGAGAGACGGAGGCGAGAGGATTGCCTGAGTCCAGGGGCTCGAGACCAGGCAACTTGGTGAGACCTCATCTCTACAATAAATAAAAAAATAAGCTGGGCATGGTGGCACACACCTGTAGTTCCAGTTACTTGGAAGACTGAGGTGGAAGGATCGTCTGAGTCCAGCAGGTCGAGGCTGTGGTGGCTGTGAGCGTGCCACTGCACTTCAGCCTCCTGGGCAACAGAGTGAGATTTTGACTAAAAAAAAAGGTTTGGTGGGGCTTGAAAGACATGATAGCTACCATATTACTGCCAAATCAGACTCCAAACCTATTAACATATTTAACTTAAACAGGTACATAGCCACATCCAGATGTTAGCTAGACCTGTGAACATAGTGAGAGGTAAGGATTCTTAGAGGAAGTGGATGGTGGAAAAAAAGATAGACATTAGTTTTAAAACCTCAAAGGCCATTTGTAACTGCTTTCCACCCATCCACTTCTCCTCAAACAAGCATTAACTCACATTTTTAAAAAACTATCCTTGATTTTCTTTTTTTAAAAATAAAGATGTAGGGTACAATTCAGGATTAGGTATACAAACGTTGATTATGCAGGTGCCCTTGTTGATGAGGTGTGCCCTCCCTCCCCTAGCAGTTTCCCTCAACTGCCAATACCAACTCCCTCCCCTGGCAGTTTTCTATTATTGCCAATCCCTTTCTTATAGCATTATGATAATTGTTCAAGGTCTGCTTATGAGTGAGAACATATGGTACTCTGTTCTTTGTTTCTGTGATAGATCACTGATTATGATCGACTCTAAATCCATCCAAGTTGCTTCAAAGTCCATATGTTTGCATTAACTCACATTGTAAAGCACTTTATGCTTGACATAAGTATATACATCTGGGGCCCCATTTTACTTTTGATCACTGCACTTGTAAAGACACATTCCCTACATTAGTTGAAAGTAACTTGGTCCAAACTGAGTCTGTTCTCTAGCTTTGTAACTTACTTTGTGGCCTTGGCAAAGCCTAAGTCAGTTTTCTTCCTTGTAAAAGATGATGAATCTGTTTGCCCCCTTACAGTTATTGTGAGAATGAAATGGTAGACAATACATCAGGCCCTCAGCACAGTAGCCAGTATATGTCAGGCATTTACATGAGCTTGTTCTTTTCCTCTTCCTCTTTTTTTTTTTTTTGAGTTGGAGTCTCACTCTGTCGCCCAGACTGGAGTGCAGTGGCTGCTCCTGGCCATCACAGCCTCGACCTGCTGGGCTCCGGTGATCCTTCCGCTTCAGTCTTCCGAGTAGCCGGAATTACAGGCATGCGCTACCACGCCCGGCTGATTTTTAAATTTATTGTAGAGATGAGGTCTCGCTGCCCAGGCAGGTCTCGAACCTGCGGGCTCAGGCAATCCACTCACCTCAGCCTCCCAAAGGTGCGGGATTACAGGCTGAGCCACCGGCTCCTCTTCCTCTTAAAGGACAGGGCTAGGACCAGTTCTTGGCTCTGGATTCACAGACTTCATGACCAACCAAATGAGTAGTCTTTAAATGCCAACTAGTGGCTCTATAAGATAGGGACTTCCAGGATAATCAAGAAAATATTAGACTAGGGAAAATTTCCTGGTTATGAAAATTATTATATCTGGGATCTAAAGAAGAGAAGAACTTCAATTCCTTCCTTGGAGAACTGCTAAAATCAGTGTGGACATCCAGAATGGCCTGAGATTCATGTTCCATAAACATTTCTTGAGCTCCCACAAAATACCAGGCCCTGTATTCAACACTATCATGGGGTGATCTCATTGAATCCTTACAATAAGCCTTTGTGGTGGACTCACTAGATCCATTTTTTTTCACATGGGAAAACTGAGGCTTCAGAAGAAGAAGGGCAAACTCAATCAGAGAGAATTCTGATTCATCTTTAGTTGTGAGTGAATCAAGGTTCTCCTTTTATCCAAAGACTGGTTCTCTGGGCCTGTCTGTGCTGAGTAACTACCTCTTAATGGCTCTCATCTCCTCTATCATTCTCTATCTGCTTCCAGTGTTATCTCCCTAAGATGTCCCTTCAACCTTATCACTCCTGTGCTTTGAAGCATAAATTAATTCTGCATTTCTTGGTACACAATAAGCGCTTAATAAATGTTTATTGGGTTAATGTGTGCCTCTAGGATTAATTCCAAACTCCTTAGTCTGATATTCACAGTATTTAACAATCTGGCTCCAACATACCTTTTCTAGATATTTTATCTCCTACTTTTTGTTCCTACCTCTATACCTCATATTAGAACCCTGTATTCCAGATAGTATGAACCCCTCATATTTTTCTTTTCTCTCTGTGTGTTGAAACGCCCATTTTCTCCTCTATGGTCTAGCAAATTCTCACTTTTGAGGCTTATTTATATCTTCTCTACACGGGTTGCACCCTATTTATTCCTGTATTATGACACTACACTGTACTGTAATTAATGAATAAAATTTCAGTTTCTTTCTTCTTAAAGACAATGACTTGCTTTCATTTATCTGTGCTTCACGCAGTGATTCCCTCAGTACTTCTTTCATGGACTGGCCATGTCTGAACTCAGCACTTTTTTGTCGAATGGGTAAGAAGCTGGAAGGAATTACATTCACCTCCCCTCTTCCGTTTTCCTTAGCTTTTGCAGCTGCTTTCCTCTCCCATCCTCCTCTTCTCCACCCCCGCCCCACCCCATTGGAATGCCACAGTTACTAGTCCCCAGGGAGCAGCTAGAGCACCCTACACATCCGAAACCAATTCCCCTGAGGGCTTTCTAGTCTCCAGCATAATTAGCGACTTCTAGTAACCTTTTGGGGGTGAGTAGGCGTGAAAGCCCCTGCAGGGGTGTTAGTGGGTATATCTCTCATCTCTCCAGTTGCCTTCAGGAGTGTTTGTTTTATTTTGTTTTGTTTTACATTTTTCTGCACACAGGCCGGGCAAACATCCCCATTCCTTTGCACTCCTCACAACCTTTGACATAATTGTCTGTGACAAATTGATTTAAAGTGCGGCTGCAGGAAGAGAAACAGGCATATCTCGCTTGGCCTTCTGGGAGTTGTAGTCCTGGAAGCCCTCAGGCTGTCTGGCTGGCCCTAGAGCTGCGGACTACAGCTCCCAGGCCTCTTCAAATCCCTACCGCACAGGCTCAGAGCCCCAAACCCGAAGGAGGTGGCTACATTGTGTCTATTGTATCCCTTGTCTGGTGTATTTGTGCATCTCTCGGGACGTGAAATCGAGAGTGAAAAGCATGGCAGATGAGCAAGAAATCATGTGCAAATTGGAAAGCATTAAAGAGATCAGGTAAGTGGTACATTGCAACATCACCCCTGCCCCTCAAGCCCCCCAAAATCCCTTGTTGCGGGAGAGGGCTGAGTTACCTATGGAAAGTATCTATTGTTGGACTACTTGCCTAGTGGATCTTGAAAGGTGCCAATTCACTTACAGACTTCCAAATGATGTGAGGATGGTAGGGAGGTTGGGTAGTATTGAAACCGAGACTAGTGGGTGTCGGGAGTCATTCATGTATACATTTTTTCAAAGTACTTGTTGGCCCTAGGGTGTCTTTGGTTCCTTGCATATTAGGAGTCAAGATTTTTTATTTTCCTTCAGTCTTCCGTTCAACTTCAGAACCTGGAGCTTGGGATAATTTTTTTGACAGCCAAGTTTAGCCCGTCAGGACTGGTGGCAACTTCCAGGGGTTGTCAGGCTGAGGGTGCAGAGAAATCCCGGCGGGCGAAGCTGGGAGAATGGCGCGCGCTCGTTTTTCTTTCACTCACTCGCCACTTTCTTCCTTCCTATCTCGCGCTATAAAGGGGGATGGGAGCAATGAGAACCGAGGACGCTGTCGCTGCACTGATCCTTAACAGCTGCTTTGAGGAGCCAGAGGTGACAGGCAGGCTGGCAAAGTGGGAGTTGTCCAAGTCTGCGGCTGTCCCTGTATCAGCTTTGGCAAGGAGGTGATGTTGTCCTTGCTCAGAACACAATAGCGCCAGGCTGGATCACTGGTTGGCCTTCTTTCACTTCCCCTGCTCTGACTGAGCCCCTGCTTTGGCTCCGACTTTCTTTCTGAAAGTGACCTGAGTCAGACAGTCTCCCTGGGTTTTTTTCCCCAAGAAAAGACGTGAAGGATATCAAATGTGTCTCTTTAAGAAATATGACTTTGATCATGAGATTTAGCCATTGGAATGCCTGGGTGAGATCTACACATGATGGTTGGTGATGGTGGTGTAGCACTTGGTTTCTTCTGGATTGGCTGCATCTGTCTCCCTCGGATTCTTTGACTTTTGCTTATTTCAACAAGAGTCCTTTGAGCTTCCTACTTCTCCTTTACAGCTGGAAAAAACTGAGGCTCAGATAATTTGAGTGACTTTCCCAGAGACACACAGCTTGAAAGTGTCATATTTTGTCAGTCTACTTGCAAAGGCCCTTCTTGTTCCACTATGATCCATGAAAAGACTGGGAAGTGGGGAGGGCATATGTTGCAATCTTCTTTTGCAAAAGCATCAGGAGATAGACATCTTGGTGTAGTAGAATGCCAGCTGTCATAATAGCAATACAGCTAGTCCTACAGATGGAGAGCCTAAGCATCTACTTTTACTGGGCATTAAAGGAACCTCCACCCCATCCCCAGAGAAGGACTAGGTGGGAGCAAGGACTTTTATTCTCAATGAAAATAGACCTTTTTCAGTGGAGACCACCTGTAGAACTATGACTTCTACCCTTACCAGTTAGTTACCATGGGTTTCTACCCCAACTAGCTAGGATGGAATCAGCAGAAACCTAGAGAAAAGGTTGAACTCCCACCTCTACCACAGCAGTATAAAAGAGCCCCTCCCTAACCTGAATATTGAAAGACAATAGAGAAACTGAACTTCTACTGTCCCTCTTCCACCCAGGATAGTGTCAGAGGAGAACTGCTATAACAAAAGATTTAAATAAGATCCAGAGTATTCAACTTTTAGTGAGAAATCACTAGCCATATCAAGATATCAACTCAAATGAAAAGATAAAATAAACAGATACCAATATTGAGATGACACAGATGTTAGAATTATCTGACAAGTATTTTAAAGCACCCATCATAAAAATGTCAATAAGTGATTATAGCACACTTGAAACAAATGATAAAATGGAAAAATCTCAACAAATAAATAGAAAGCCTCAGCAAAGAAATATAAAATATAATGAAGAACCAAATGAATCTTTTAGAACTGAAAAATAATATGAAAAACTCTACAGACTCAATGGACTGGGCACAGTGGTTCACACCTCTAATCTCAGCACTTTGGAAGGTTGAGACATGAGGATTTCTTGAGGCCAGGAGTTTCAGACCAGACTGGGCAACATGATGAGTCACTGTCTTTACAAAAAAAAAAAGGCTGAGGGTGGTGGCATGTGCCTGTAGTCCCAGTGACTCGGGAAGCTGAGGTGAGAGGATTGCTTGAGCCCAGGAGCTTAAGACTACAGTGAGCTACAATTGTGCCACTACACTCCAGCCTAGGTGACAGAGTGAGACCCTGTCTCTAAAAAATGGACAAACAAAAACTCAATGGATGAGCTTAATAGCAAGATGGAAAAGATAAAGGAAAAACATTCAACAGCTTAAACATAAATAATAGAAATCACCATGGAACTATAACAAAAGCCTTAACATTTATGCCAACAGAATCCCAGAAGGAGAGGAGACAAGAAAATGGGTAGGACTGAAAAAGTACCTAAAGAAATAATGACCTATGAGGGGAAAAATAAATAGAATGAAAGATTTCTCATCAGAAACAGACAAGACCCTAGCAGGAAGTGACACCTCTTTTAAGGGTTGAAGAAAAATAAGTATCAACTCAGAATTCTATGTCCAGTGATAATATCCTTCAATATTGAAGGGATAATTGGGACATTCTTAGATGAAGGTAAACTAAGAAAATTTAGATCTATCCTAAAATAATGACAATAGTAAGTTCTTAAAACAGAAAATAAACAATAAAAGGAGGAATCTTAGGGCTTCAGAAAGGAAGGAAGAACACAATAAGCAAAAGAATGGGGGAAATAAAGTTCATGTGTGATGATTAAAACTAATTTTATAACATTTTCTAATGTGGTCTCAGTGTATGTCGAGGAGATATTTAAGACATTTGTATTATAAATGGGGGAGTGTAAAGAAATGTAAAAGGGAGGGAAGAGTCCTATACTTCACCGATCTAGGTAAAATGATGTTGTCAGAAGGCCATTAGACAAATTATGTATATGTAATGTATTTCTGAGAGCAAACACTAAAAAAGCTATACAAATATATTCAAGATGGTATTTAAATAATCAAAATCTAAAGAATGTTCAAGTCACCCACAGGAAGGCAGGGCAAAGAAAATGGAGAAAATAAAAACACAGAGAACAAAAAATAAAACAAAAAATAAGATGACAGACTTAGCCTTAGCATATTAATAACAACATTAAAATACCATGCAAACATTAATCAAAAGAAAGCAGGAGTGGCTATCTCAATATCAAACAAAACAGACTTCAGAGGAAAGAAAATTTCCAGAGACTGAGAGAGACATTAAGTAATGAAAAGGGTTTAATTCATCACAAAAACATAACAATTCCAAATGTGTATGTTCCAAAAGTGACTTAAACTATTTTTGACATTATTACAGTAATATACAAGGGTTAAATCACATAATTTAAGAATGTAAAATGGAGAAAATACAACAAATATATATTTGATCTTCATATATGGATAGGTAAACATGTATGAGAGGTGCAAAGAAGGAGAAAGCAAAGGAGGTCAGAGGGAACTGGAGAAAGGAGCTAACATTCATTGGGCACCTATGAATTTCAAAGCTCTTGGCTCATTTAATCTTTAATCTTCCCAATGAAAATCTGTGGTAGGAGTTATTATCTTCATTTGACAGATAAGGACACTGAGGATCAGAGAGGTTAGGCAACCTTTGTATAGTTACACAACTAGGAAAGAAAGAATATATCCTTCTGTTCACATGGCATGTACATTTCAATTGCCCTTACAATGCTGATTATCTGATTAACCATTATTCACAGTTCGTCAACTACTATAATCCTGAATCTCTTAAAGAACAATCAGAACAGCCTATTTCTGTTTTGTTTTTTTTTTAAAGTAATGTTCTTTGGGTTAAAGCAGCAATGATGATGGCATGATTACCTATCTGCCTGAGGAAGTCAAGCTAAGAACCTTATAAATAGCATACACCAGTGGCAATATTTGCAGTGGGAAAGGCCTCAGGGATAGATTCTCCCACCACAGATCATTCTCTGCTCCCGACTCCAACCACATGGTCACCCATATCTTGTCTCCTAACCCCAAACATACTCCAACATTATGCTAATAGCCTCAGCCCCCAAATTCCTTACTGGTCTATTTTGCCCTTGTGTTCCTTGAACTTTTATTTTATTTTGGATAAGCTCCTGTACTTCCATGTCTTCAAATATCATCTCCCAAATCTCCAACCTCTATATCCCACTTCCTGCCAAGCTTCAGCTTAATACATACCAAACCCTACTGATCTTGTCTACTGGGATGTTCCACAAATACAGCTCAGCTTGGCCAACACTAAACTCTTCAAGTCTCCCCACTGCAATCAAGGTCCTCCCTATAAACCTCTGGTTTAATGCTACCATTCTTTACAAAGTTACCTCTGATTGAAATCTGAAAGTCAATTTTGACTTTACTTTCTCTTTTATGACTCACCTGCAATCGCTTAGCAAATGCCATGGTTTCTACTGTCAACATCTTGCTTAAATCCCTATCTGGTTCTCCACCTCCAGACATACTGGTTCACTTTAGGCCTTCAACATGACTGGCCTGAATATTTGTCATTTTGTATCAATTTCTACCTGTAGACTTATTTCATGTCTACAGTTTATCCCCTATCTTCAATGTCATCCACACTACTATGAGAACCACCTACACAAGCCACAGGTATTATTATGTTATTCCTCTAACACATTTATTGACTTGCCATTGCATATAGCAGTCCTTTTGGAAATAAAGGATGCATATCATTTATTAGCTTATAAAATGAATTTAATTAGTTGCTAGTAGCATTATAAAAATTCTTGTAAAAATCAGTAGGAAATTATCAATATACATTATATATGAAATGGTAGGTATGCTTTGGAGACAGTTACCTTTCCATTTTAAATCTATGTAAGTATGTATTGGGTCACAAGATGAAATTCGTTTACATTAAGGTCACTTCTTAGTGAGTATATGTTGGGCACATATTTGCTTGTCATTGTTACCATGGCATTGATGCCCCTCTCCCCAACAA